AGGAGTAGGAGGACGAGGAGGAGGAGGAGGGGAAGAGATTCGTGACTTGTCGAAGGTGCCCAAGGGTTTTCACCATCTCGGGGTGATCTCGAGTGGTAGGAAGATCGAACAGCTGGTGAAGGAGTACAAGACAGCAAAAGGTAATCTCCTCCTCCTCCTCCTCCTCCTCCTCCTCCTCCTCCTCCTCGGTTCCTTCTCCTCCACCCCTTTCCCTCTTGCTTCTCTTCATCGTCCTCCTCCTCCTCGTTTCAATCTCCTCCTCCTCCTCGCTTTCTTACATCCTGTTCACTCCTTCCTCCCCCCCCTTTCACTTTTATGCTTCCTCGCTCTGCCTCCTCCCATTCCTTTCCTTTCTCTCCCTCCTCCCCATCGTCGCATGTCTCTATTCCCTTATTCTTCTCCTCTCGACAGGCAAACGGCACAAGTCGCAGCTGAAGGATCGCATAGAGGATCTACAGCAGAGCATAGAGGATGACTTTCAACGAGTGACCTCCTTCGGCAAGCGGCAAGAATCCTCGCCCTCCTCCCCCTCCCCTTCTCCACTTCCTCCCCCTCTTACTCCCCTTACTCCCCTTGCTTCCTTCTAACTTCTCCTGCTGCTGCTGCTGCTGCTGCTGCTGCTGCCCCTGCTCCTGCTCCTGCCCCTGCTCCTGCTCCTGCTCCTGCTCCTGCTCCTGCTCCTGCTCCTCTTGAACCCCATGATCTCCTCGCTCCGCTTCCTCGTTGCCTTCACCTCATCTTGTTGCAGGGCGGAAACAGCTCTGAAACGTGCGGAGAAGAAGAAAGCGAGCCAGGGCAAGAAAACGCACCCGGGCCACCCGCATGGATCTGTGAGAGATCGCTCAGCCCCCTCCTCCCTTCCTCCCTCCCTTCCTCCCTCCTCTTGCTTGGTCCTTGCTTTCTTTCCCCCCATTCATCTTCTGCAGCTCAACCTCTTTGACAGAACCCCAACCACCATGGCGACCCCATGCCGTCGCGTTGATGTAAATGTTGTAGATAACAAGCTCACTTCTTGTCAACAAAGATTCTCCACTACCACCATCATCACTTTCTCCTCCTCCTCCTCCTCCTCCTCCTCCTCCTCCTCCTCTCCCTGCCCTCTACTCACTTCCTCCTCTCCTCCCCGTCATGCTCTCAGTGTAGCTCGACTTTGCTCAGCAGTCGGTCCATCTTGTCGCTAAGGTCGAGCTGCATGCGCTTCACCCTCCTGCTCTTCTCCTGCCAGCTCGTCACGTCCTCTCAGAGCAGCTGCGACTCGCCTTGAGCTGCTGCAGCCGCGCCAGCTTCTCCAGCTCCTCCTGCCCCCGACCTGACGAGCACCATGAGCTACGATAGAGCATGCGACTTGATACTTTCTGCCTCCTGCGGCACATGAGGCGTATGTGACCTCCCATGCCACGCCTGGACGAGATGTCAGCCACCAAGGGGGGGAAGACAAGGAGAACGGGGGAGGAGAGAGGGAGGAACCAGAGAAGGACGAGGACGAGGACGAGGAGCAGGAGCAGGAGCAGGAGCAGGAGCAGGAGCAGGAGCAGGAGCAGGAGCAGGAGCAGGAGCAGGAGCAGGAGCAGCAGGAGCAGCAGGAGCAGGAGCAGGAGCAGGAGCAGGAGCAGGAGCAGGAGCAGGAGCAGAATGCAAATGAACTTTGTGACACCTGGAAGGAGTCGACGATCCATTCGGAGTCACTCTGATCCCAGAGGTCCGTGGAGGGAAGAGAATCTCTCATAGTCCTGCGATATGAGTGTGAGAGAGGAAGGAGTTGCTACAAGACACGTACTCGTGGAACTGACGCACTGACATGTCAGTCGACCCACTCAGACTTGTCTTGAACGTTATCAGATGTCTCTGCAACACGATCAGGACAGGAAGGAAAAACAAGCAAGAAGGTTCTTCTCACCTTGTCTGGATCATACATGACGTACCGGGCGGGACCAACTTTTCTAAAGATCTTATCCCTTGAGGACAGCAAGAATGGCAACTTCAAGTTGTCCGCCAGGAGGATGCTGAGATTGCTCCAGTCATCGTCAAGATGTCCTGCTGCTGCTGCTGCTGCTGCTGCTGCTGCTGCTGCTGCTCCTGCTCTAACTCCATCCTTGTGGTTCCCCTCCTCGTAGGAGATTCCGTCAGCAAAGAGGACGACGACCTGGAACAAGATGAATGTTGCACGCGCAGTTCAACACTGACGAGCACCAGGTGGAAGAGAACGAAGATGACGAGAAGGAGGAAGGGGAAGAAGAACTATCATGCAAGTATCGTTATCATCCCCCCTCCTTCTTCCTCTACCATCCTCTCTCCTTCCTTCCCCCTCCTTCCTCCTCCTTCCTCGTTCTCCTCCTTTTCCTCCCTCCCTCCCTCCCTCTTCTCACTCACAAAGACAGCAGCGACCGCATCTTCGTTTGCAAGCTTCCAATAGCTTTCATTTCCCAGCATGAAGTCTATCATCGCAACCAGGCCGGTATGAAAGCTCGACAACTCTCTGTATCATCGCATTCAAAACAACCATAACAACAAACTCATCATCATCATCATCATCACCATCACCACCACCACCATCATCACCATCATCATCACCATCATCATCATCATCATCATCACCACCACCACCGCCATCATCAACCCCATCACTTTTTCTAGTTAGCTCACAAACCTTAGCTGAGTCGCAAACATGCAGAACGCCGTCATCATGAATCCCAGCAGCACGACGGCGAGCACGAGCACGAACTGAAGGAGCAGCAGCCGGCACCGCTGTATCGTGTCCACGACTCTTCGCTCTGGAAACATCAGCTCGACCAGCCCCAGCACCTTCCCAGCTGCCTGCAGCAAGCTGAGAAAGCCGAGGTGCGAGGACAACACTAGAGTGACCAGCAGGAGGTTGAAGGAGGTCAGAGTGAAGTAGAGGTCGAGCCTGTCTCGTACTGACCCCACATAAGGCAGCCCTCCTGTCTTGTCCACAAGCGCATCTCCTGTTTGCAAAGCCATCATGCTCCCTCTCCTCCCGTCCGAGCTCCTTCTCTCCCCTGCCCTCCTGTCCTGTCCTGTCCTGTCCTGTCCTGTCCTGTCCTGTCCTGTCCTGTCCTGTCCTGTCCTGTCCTGTCCTGTCCTGTCTTGTCCTGTCCTCCTCCTCCTCCTCCTCCTCCTCCTCCTCCTCACCCTTCACTGTCAGAGAGTCCCAGAAAGGATGGTAGACTATCGACACCCATAGTCCGATGGAGACAGAAAGGAAGCAGACGAGGAGGAGGTCGACCCCGACGTCCCTCAGCTCGTAGCCCTACCAGCAGCTCAGCAGCAGCAGGAGCACGAGAGGAGCGAGCCTGATGGTTGATACATCCCACTATGCGCAGGATGAGCTGAAGAACAAGGTACAGGAATCCGAGAGCTGCAAACGATTCCACGATCTGAAAGACAAGGTAAAG